ATATACAGAAAAATGTTTATTACAAAGGTTTCTTCATAATGATCTGTCGTTTTAAAAGTAAGTATACGGGGTTTGGAATAAAAGTTATCGGACCTGTTTTTTTTTTAAATGGAACATCCTGCATTATATAATAATCTAAAAATATAGCATATTATCACACTAGGGATGATATTAAAAAATGATTCAAAAAAATTCAAAAAGAGTTAAAAGATTTTAAAAAAGTTTCAAATGTTTTTTGAATCTTTAGGTTTTTTAAAATCTAAAAGATCATAGTGTATTTGTGTTTATGAGGTCAATAAACATCTAATGTCATATCGGTACCCACCGATAAGTCGTTGACTTGGTGGGACCGTCAATTATGTTTTATTTTTTGGAAAAATAATGAAATGAAATGAAATTATTAAATCTTTTGAATCATGAATCAATATGGAATTTGTTTAGTGTTATATTTTGGGAAATAGAATTTAAAATGATACTTTTTGATTAAAATATACCTACAGGGTTTTAAAAAAAATTAGGTACGAGGGAAAATCAAGAAATTGTCAATTTCAGAATGAACCTATATTTTCTTAGTTAAAAGAGATATAGAAAGATGTTTCTTTATAATGATTGCTGAATAATCTTTTGAGTTTTCAAAATAAGTATACGGGGCCTTGTAAAAAAGTTATCAGACCTAACCTAATTTTTTAGTATATTTTATTCGATGCGCCTTCCAAAAATATAACACAACAGAAATTTAATAAGATTCAATATTATCTCAAAAAGATTCAAGATTTTTAAAAAAATTAAAATTTTTTGCATTTTTAAAAATTTTGAATTTTTGTTAATCAATTGAATTTTTTAAATATTATCCCTATATTTTCGAAAAGAAAATGTTAATATGGTATCCTTTTAGATTCAAATATACAGGGTGTTCTATTTAATAATGAGGTTAGGTCCGGTAACTTTTTTTAACATCGTATACTTATTTTGAAAATGGCAGATTATTCAGCAAGTGTCTACTTTTGCAATAAACATTTTTTCGTGTCTCTTTTAACTAAGAAAATCTAGGGTCATTCTGAAATTGGCAATTTTTGATTTTCTCTCATATCTCTTAAGCGAGCAAATATTTTCAAATTTTGATCGTGTCATTTTTTTAAGTTTGGCCCAACTTTTTGATACCATTAAAAATTACGGAGTTCTTGCTTTCATAAGTTTTGAATAGTGATTTCAGAGGGTCCACCTCCCAATTAGATTTATCGGATCGTGTAGAACTTAATCCTTGTTTTTTTAAAAATATCTGTACATTTAGACCAGTCAAAGTTTTGACATCACCAATGGATATATTTCCTCCAGACATCCCATTCTCCCTTTGTGAGTACACTCCTCCGACAATCTGTTCTTGAGATATAATGAATTATATCCGATAACAATAAGGGGTCGAGGAGGAGGAGGAGGACTTTGGTTGGTAGAAATTGATCCCTTTCGTTGATACCTTTCATTTAAGGTGCAGTTACACGGCGCGAACCTGGCTCGGCAAGCCCCGCAATAGAAGCCGTGTGACAGGTGGCTCGCCAGACGCCATGGCTCGGGGTTCGTGGTACAAAGCTCGCGCGATCCATCGGTTGTATGACGAGGGGATCTGGAGGTCTATACCCCCCAGCTACACACATATATGCATTCCAGGAAAGAAATATTCCGTGAATGTCCCTCGCGAATTGTTACGAAATTTCTAAAAATTTAAAACCCGGAAAATTAAATAATTATGAACAGTTCACAAATCAAAACATGAAAAAATCATCACTATTTTCTCGCAAATGATTTACCTGATTGCGCTTTTAGAGTCAACGTGGGCTCATCGGCACAAAAATTTGAAAAAAAGGACACGGACTTACTTTCTTATACACGGTGTCCATTTTTCGAGTGCCACTATGGGGATCTCGCTTACCTGAAGAGATAGAGAGTTGATTAAATGCGGGCAAAGTTGCCAATTTTCGTGCTGAATAATAATCTGAAAAGAAATTAAGTTTTGAAAATATCGCAAAAAAACATTATTCAGACACTTTAATTTTTCGGGAAGAGTGCTTTGGAAAAACAAAACGTTCTTTTATTGTGAACAAAAGTATGACAGTTTGATCCATCTGTCTGGTTAGAGCGTTGGCAGGGAACTAGTTGAGTTGAGATTTTCATCTGAATATAATTGAACCTTCGTTTTGCAAGAAAATTATAATTCAAATTAGAACAAAATACTTAAGAAGAAATAATATTTTCGCAATAAATCTAGCACAAACGTAAATTACACTACTTGAAATAAGTCAACCTTTTGTTCACAACAAAAGAACGTTTTGTTTTTCCAAAGCACTCTTCGCAGATAATTAAAATTGTTATTTTAGGAAAAATGTGTTACTGAACCACCATGTGTGATATATCGTTGTAAAGAGAAAAAAAGACGTAATCTCAAAATGTCAAAATCCAAAACGGCGCCCATAAGAAAAATTAAAGTCGACACGTGTTTCTCCGTCATCTTAAAAGTTATTGAAAACGGGATGCCATATTCGAAATCTCCATTAAAAAGTGTCTGAATAATGTGTTAATTAGAAATGTCTAGAACGATTAGTTTACTATGAAAAAATTAAAAACGAAAATCAGAAATTTTCTTTTTTTTGCGATATTTTCAAAACTATTGAAGATATTTTAAATTTCTTTTCAGATTATTATTCAACACGAAAATTCGCAACTTTGCCCTCATTTAACCAAATGTCTATCTCTTAAGATAAGCGAGATCCCCATAGTGGCACTCGAAAAATGGACACCGTGTATATTGGCATTTCCCCTTCGTTTTTTCTTAGAGTTTTAAAATTACTTATTATGAGACTCTCTGCAATGAGGGGTGAGTGAGTTCAACTGTAATACGGGGAACGTAATTAAAAGGGGAGAAGATCAGAAAAATTGGCAAATTTTCGAAATTACCCTCCTGTGCACTTTTCTGCCTTCACCATCAACGGAATTCCCCCCCCCCCACACACACGCAATTAAACATTGTGCCCCTCCCCCCCCTAAAGTCGGTAACTAGGCGCCATACCGTACCATCGAGTCCGTAATATCATTCAATGGTAATATCTAAAAAAATCATCATGATCGATTCGTTTTTAGAACACGATTATGTGAATTAAACATTGAAAGTCGGTAATTACCGTAGAGTCCGTAATTCATTCAATGGTAATATCTAAAAAAATCATCATGATCGAATAACTAAAATTAGGTTCTAATTCATTCTAATTCACATAATCGTGTTCTAAAAACGAATCGATCATGATGATTTTTTTAGATATTACCATTGAATGATATTACGGACTCGATGGTACGGTATGGCGCCTAGTTACCGACTTTAGGGGGGGGAGGGGCACAATGTTTAATTGCGTGTGTGTGGGGGGGGGGGAATTCCGTTGATGGTGAAGGCAGAAAAGTGCACAGGAGGGTAATTTCGAAAATTTGCCAATTTTTCTGATCTTCTCCCCTTTTAATTACGTTCCCCGTATTACAGTTGAACTGTGCGAGGGGCCTGAAAGCTCACCAAATTTTACCACCCGGCTCGGGTTTACTTCTGACTTCTGATGGGATCCTGTTATGAAAATAGCTACTACCTCGGCTACTATACATAGAGTACTTTTTGTAACACGGTTACGTAAACTAGGTTTTGTATTACCAAACTATTGTTTTGCGTAAATGCACGAAATTGAACTCCGCACTCTTGTAATTATAAATAATATTTTGTTATTTCGCGTTGCCCGTTACCACACTCATTAAACAAAATCCACCATTTCATAAACTGTTTACGTAAGGACTTACTTTAGACTTGGAATGTGTTACAATTTGGCAAAATAAACACGAGCCACACTGTACTGCGAAGTTAATTTTCACAAAACTTTGCTTACCATTTTCAAAAAAAAATTATGTACCTACTCGTGCAAGGTAACCGAATAAAATCCACCTAAATGCGGTAACTACAGGTCTAGAGAATGTAATTGCCCAACGAACTATGTAATTACAAGCACATTTTGAGTGCATTTCTTTTTTTGTCCAACAGATTAAATACCAAGCACGTGCTCAAGGTTGTAGCATCAGAAAAGTGCGCATGTTAAAAGTGTAATCTCTAACTTCTAGGAATTGACTATCAGAGTTTTGATTAATTAATACCAATTAAATTTCCTATTTGGTAAGTTTCAAAAGCAATATCGGCCAAATAATGAAACCCTCTTCGTAATTGTGTTCTACGGGGCAGTTTAAAGCGAAGTTCCAAGGAATACATAATCTGGAAGATACTCAATTTTATCATTATTTTTTATTCAATGAGTATATGAAGCCGTTCCCACGTGGCAACATTTCTCATCTCAGCGTTCAAAAAGCGAATCGCTCCTGTTTTGATGAGGTATTCGGTGAAAGAAGTGAATTTTTTTTATCATTACGACAACTTTCTCTTTTCAATGATCTATTATGTTATAAATTAAATTCCCAATTAAACTAACTATCACTACTTTGTATAAGTAATACTTTCTCGTCGCACATGCGTGAAATAATTTTTTGTTCCATTGAACTTCCGGCCGCTTTACAATAGAAAAATGGCTGGCAATGTATCGTCATTGCTCGTCATTTTAAATAATTAATCGAAGATAACGGGTTTTAAGTAGAAACACAATTTACTAAACGAGTTACGCAAGATGCCGGAAATCCCTTGAGATAAATAGGTACAAATTTTCCGGTAGACAGAGGAAATGATTGCAAGGCTTTTAGTTACACTTGAACATTGAAACGCGATATTAATCTTTGGCATGGACGAAGAAAAGGGCAGCCATCGAAAACACCCACCTTTACAGAAAGGACTTAGCTTTAGTTTATACGAATTGCAAAGGGAAATAGAAAATTTGGATTTCACTTTCAACACATCCGTAAGTGAGTCGCACCTCTTATTTGCTTGAGTAATTTCGCACTACAGTCTTTTAAACGATAAATTTTTATTACAGGAGGCCCATCATATGGTTCAGGAGGCGAAAGAAAAGCAGGCGGCAGCCGAAAAGGCGTTAAAGGAAAGTCAAATGAAAGTGGACGTATTAACTGCCGAAGTTTCCGCCCTTAAAACCCTTGTTCTTACTTCCACACCTAGTAGACCGAATCCCCATCTACACCCCCAAATTGATTTAAAAGGAAAAGAAGAATTAGGTATGCGCCACGAGCTAATATTAAATTGTAATTTATTAACGCGAATATGCTTATTACAGGTGTGGCTTTGTTTGCAAAAAAACATAGACGTTCGCCGTCGCATTACAATTTGAAATATGGGCGTGAAAATTCTCCACCCGATTCTCCCGTGCGCGATTTATCGCCCCCCGTTTGCTTGGGCACCGATATTTTTCCTAAGGAAGGTTTAGAGGTACGTCCAGGAAATATTTTAGTGTGTAGATATATAATTTTGAAATGTAGGTCGACCCCATTGTTCATCAAGAATTCATTTCGTGGAGAAATAATCCCACCTTGGACAAGACGAATCCGTTTATAAAAAGGATTTACACCGAGGATATTAACTTATGTCTTGCGTTTGATAATTCAAAGCTGGTGACGAAGGTTGCTGAGGCTGTTGATTCGGGCACAATTTTAATCGAGGCCGTCAGCGATAAGACTAAAGCAATGTTTCCAAAGTAAGGCGAACTTTTGTGCGTATCCCATTACATTTTTCCGTTTACAGAAAGTGCGCCCTTTTGGAAGTGCCCCGGCTGTGTTTTTATAGAATGAATATCGGGGAACCAGATGTTTGGTACTCCATATCACAAATTTGTAGAAATAGGGTAAGGGCTGTAGAATTTTCCCACGTCCTTTGTTTCATACTTTAACATTTCCAGATTATTTCAGTCTGTGATTTTCTTAACTACCTGAAGTACATCGAACGCGGATTAGTCAAAAGTTCAGGTGAGTGCGAGTCGAAACTTTTCAAAACTTTCTAACTTGGACTAATTTCAGTTCACGAAGTCTATTGGGAAATTATCAGATTACGAAAAAATATGGTTTTAGCGCGATTAGGGTTAAGTTTGAATGCCTAAAGTTGTTCAAACTAAAGTTTTTGTGCCAATTTAATATAAACCGATTCTATTAGTGATTAGTAAATTAAGATCTGTATATGTAACCAAAGATTTTTGTTAGGGAATTAATTTTAGGCGAGTGCAATCGTACTATTGAAAAATTTTATGAGTGTAATTGTAATTTAAATTATTTATTGTAAAGTGCCCATATTATTGTGCAACAGCTGTAAGTTGTCTTCCTATTTTTATGTAATTTTATTGTTTTAGAGTGTTTGATGAGAATGTATGAGCGTATGCAATTTGTAGAAATAGAATTTATAACTTGTAAAATATGCAAGAACAAAGTAAACATAAATATCAATTCGATTTAAATAAATACTTCCATTATTCAATAATAATGTTTTTTTTTTAATATCGCCCCATTATTATATATATAAACTACCTATAAGCTAATTTAAAAGATAGAAATCTTATCTGAAAGTCAGTAGAAAATGGTAAGGTCCCTAACACATTTCCGCAATGGATCGCAATGCTGATTGATTGCATTAAATAATTCCTGGACCTTGTTTCTTAGTATACTCCGAATTTTGACGGCAATTTCTCTAATAAACTGTTTGCAGCGGCTCCCCAAGGACCAAAAGTTTCAAAGGCAAGGGTGTCTGAAATTTTTTGTCATTTTGATTACAGCCGACGATACTGTGGATAAGCCGGAGAAATTTCGAAAATTTCGAAAGAAAATTCAAAGGGCTGTAACTTTTGAACTAGTAGCCCGCCCAATCTTGGAACTGTTTGAAATTATGGATTCTACAGGCCACATTCTATGAGAAAATTTTTTTCCGGGTCGATCTGAGACAATGTTTTGTTCAAGCCTCAAAAAAAGGTAGTGTATAACCTTCCTTTTTTACCAAAAATGGACTGCACCAAAATTTCTCGAGAAAACACTTTTTCTAATTAATTTTGGTGCGTAGAATCCAAAACAATTCGTACTTTTTCGATCAGACTTCTCAATCGAAAGTTATAGACTAGAAACCAATTTCGAAAGAAAATTCAAAGGGCTGTAACTTTTGAACTAGTAGCCCAATCTTGGAACTGTTTGTAATTGTGGATTCTACAGGCCACATTTTATAAGAAAATTTTTTCCGGGTCGATCTGAGACAATTTTTTTTTCGGGCCTCCAAAAAAGGCAGTGTATAACCTTCCTTTTTTACCAAAAATCGACTGCGCCAACTTTTCTCGGGAAAACACTTTTTCTAATTAATTTTGGTGCGTAGAATCCAAAACAATTCGTACTTTTTCGATCAGACTTCTCAATCAAAAGTTATAGACTAGAAACCAATTTCGAAAGAAAATTCAAAGGGCTGTAACTTTTGAACTAGTAGCCCAATCTTGGAACTGTTTGAAATTATGGATTCTACAGGCCACATTCTATAAGAAAATTTTTTTCCGGGTCGATCTGAGACAATTTTTTTTTCGAGCCTCAAAAAAAGGCAGTGTATAACCTTCCTTTTTTACCAAAAATCGACTGCACCAAAATTTCTCGGGAAAACACTTTTTCTTATTAATTTTGGTGCGTAGAATCCAAAACAATTCGTACTTTTTCGATCAGACTTCTCAATCAAAAGTTATAGACTAGAAACCAATTTCGAAAGAAAATTCAAAGGGCTGTAACTTTTGAACTAGTAGCCCAATCTTGGAACTGTTTGAAATTATGGATTCTACAGGCCACATTCTATAAGAAAATTTTTTTCCGGGTCGATCTGAGACAATTTTTTGTTCGAGCCTCAAAAAAGGTAGTGTATAACCTTCCTTTTTTACCAAAAATCGACTGCACCAAAATTTCTTGAGAAAACACTTTTTCTAATTAATTTTGGTGCGTAGAATCCAAAACAATTCGTACTTTTTCGATCAGACTTCTCAATCAAAAGTTATAGACTAGAAACCCTGGTTCAGCCGGAAATGCGCGCGAGTACCGACACACCGACATCATCGAGATTTTGTTTGATTCAGATGACTCCTCTTGTGTGAAATGTAAATGTAATGTAAAAAAAATGGATGGAAGAGAGGATGAAAACAAGCACTTTTCCAAATAAATCGTAGGTAGGTCCCACGTGTTTCGTTTGGGAGCCACCCTTTGCATTTCTTCTTTAATTTTATTCTCAACAACCACAGTTAAGAGAGTTAAAGAGCTAATAATCATTATTGTGCCTTGTGTTCACTGGAATCGTTTCGGAGACGTTTATAAAGAATTCGATATCCTACTCTTTCCAAAGTTCGTTCCAGAGGTAATCAGACTGTCAAGATATGGATTATGGATAGCATCTGGAATGCTCTGCTAAGTGCATAAAATGTATATCGTTACGAACAGGATTTAAACAGTTCTGGGACTGCACCAGAATGTAAGTGGGAGTGTTATAGCGTTTTCGATTGGCAAAACTCGTGCTGCACGAGTGCAATTTTTACGTTCTATTGGTAATTTTAGGGCAATTTTCTGTGTTCCATTGGCAAATGTGATGCAACAATTACGCACTCAGTGCAAATTTCGACGCACGAGGTCCGTGAGCTCGTGGAGCTGCTAGTTAACAAATTTTCAAAACAAACGTGCGACAATTTGAATTTGTTTCTTGCGTTGGGAGAGTTTTTTGTCGTCATCTAGCGATAGCGAAGCTGATGAACTAGCCATAACTTCTATTTTACAAAAAGTTGCACTTAATCATTAAAATGAACGCCAAAAATTGGTCCTTTACAGGAATTTCAAATTTATATTCCTCATCGTTTATCATAAAATAATAATACTGAAATCGTTTGTCATTTTTTAGAATAGAGATTTGTCGATTACTTAAATCTAAAATGAGGTTATGGACAAATGACAACAAATATTTACGAATATTTATGTTCCATTGAGAGCAATTTTCACATGGATTTCTTCAGTTTCTCGTGCAACACTCGTGCAGTACGAGTTTTGCCAATCGAAAACGCTATTAGACAAGTAGTACTAAGTTTAAAACAATAGATCTGTACGCTAAGTACACATTTCCCAAAAATACTTCCAACGTTCGCGTTCGAAGTAAAAATACGAATCGTTTTCAAATAATTTCAACTTTTTAAAATTTTCATTAGCTATCAGTTGCTTGCATACGGTTCCTTAAATCCTTACACTATCTCACCATTTTACAGAAAAAATGTGGTAATATTTGATGTGTAAATCAGTCTTTATTGATCGTTATGCGAGCTAGAAATTGGAAATAGTGGGAATTCGATGAAGAACATGTCTCAATTTCGAAATTTTATAACCTTTTATCGAATTTTTTGCAAAAGCTGTAGATCCAGCCGGTATTTGAACAAAACTTGCCTTTTGTAAATTTGTTATGGATGAACAACAAATTAAGTTTTACAGCCAACAGGCAGCAAAAGCTGTAAGAAGAGAAGTCGAGTCTTAAATGATGCAACTATTAACTAAAATTGTAGGAAGAAGACATTTTGAGGTTAAGAAACTCCGTGCGCAATTTACAAGATTGCATAGCGAATAAAGCAAATTTACTAAATGGCTCTCAGGAATTAAACCAGCTAATTACCGAAAACACGAAGTTAAAACATCGTCTGGCAATCCTCAATAGAGTAAGTGTAGTGCGAATTGATTTAAAGCTTGAATAAACCGTACAAAAATTAAAGGCTGTTGCTGCAGAAAAGGCAAAGTTAAGTAGTTCAAATAACATGGATAACCTCCAGCAGCTGCTAAGCGAAATATTTGAAGCTGCTATTAAGAGCGCTTTTCCCGATCTTCCAGATCCTCCTGTCGTAATTGCATTATCGGGTAATAATGTTAAATTTGGCGATTACCAGTGTAACTCTGCTTTGCCGATTGCTAACATATTGAAACAGTCGGGTAAGTTTCTCATGGGAGTATGCAATCGATCGAAAGTTATTTTCAGGTCAGAAGTGTCCTCCAAAAGACATTGCCAATAAAATTGTCGCACACGTTTCTCCATCACCCATGATCGAAAAGTTGGAAGTGGCAGGGGCCGGTTTCATTAATGTTTTTTTGAGCAAAACCTATGTAACGGAAAAACTATCATTAATTTTGAAAAATGGAATACAGCCTCCATTGTGTGATAAACAGCGAGTTCTAGTTGATTTCTCATCACCAAATGTTGCAAAGGAAATGCACGTAGGTCATTTAAGGTTAGTTGTCTAGCAGAAGGTTACAAATTACTTAACATGTGCATTTTAGATCTACAATTATTGGCGACAGTGTCTCCCGCCTCTTAGAATTTCTAGGGCATCATGTGATAAGAATAAATCACGTGGGAGATTGGGGCACTCAGTTCGGTATGCTTATTGCCCATTTGCAGGATATGTTTCCGGATTACCAACAGAAGTCACCTCCTATAAGCGATTTACAAGCATTTTACAGAGAATCCAAGACACGGTTTGATGAGGATCCCGAATTTAAGAAACGTGCATATGCGTGTGTTGTCAAATTGCAAGCGCACGAACCTAGCTACCTACAGGCTTGGAATTTAATTTGCGATGTTTCGCGTAAAGGTAATGCCTTCTGAATGGGCCCTACTAGATCATAAGGCCTCAGTGTTGATGTAGGATATTTCACGTTGAAGGCTAATGGTGTATGCCTCACTGGGCATTATGTGTACAACTGATCACTATTTCTGTTGTCACCCTTATGCCCAAAGCATTCTAATTGTAACTGTAAGGGTATGTGTGTGTGTTCACAATGAACTTGTCATAGCCAACTTCACTGTCGAATTTTCCATCATGATTCTTTTACACTTACCAATTTGCAGTATTTTCCAAATCTTCAGTTGATTGGTTGAAGAAATATCCAATCAAATTCCCTAATTCTTTCGTTCAACTGAACTTAAAAGTGTAGGTACATGGGGGAGTTCAAATTTGTGGTTCTCGGCAATGGTGAGAGATACAGTGTTGGTTAAATGGGAACAAAGTGGCCCCTTTTTGTGACTAATAAAACGCATTTGAAATTTGAAAAATCTTTGATAACTTGAGATTTCACCGAAAAACTGAAAATGTCAAATTTTTTTCATTTTCCTTAGCTTAAACGGTTGGAAATGGACAGTTCTCGTTAGTACCTTTTATGGCCACTCTTTTTCAAAGAATCTGAATCTGTTTACAGAATTTCCATACCACGCTAGAAGTAGAAGCGACAGGCTACTACTTTCTGAGCTACTTTCTTATTTCATGGACGCCATACTGAATTTTTACGGAATAAGAGAAGACGAAAAAAGAGATTAATTTCAATGCATGATCATCATAGACATGTTGAGTCAGTAAGATCTAGTTACCCGTGGATGTTTTGTTGAGAAATGAATGTAAAACATTTTATTTTGAAATTTTTATTGTAATGTGCGTAAAACTATAGCTACAGAGTGAGAAGTCATAACTTTTCTTTTTTTTCTTCTATCTCATTCCCTAAAAATCCAAAATGGCGCCATACCTGGAAACCCTCATTACCCCAGTGAAATACAGGAGAGGAAAATTCTTTCTTAGTAAATTTCGTTATATTCTCGACCTTTGGTAATATACAAAAACATAGAAAATGATATAGAAATTCATACTATTTTTTTCATAATTTAAGAGGGTAGCAAAATTCGCAAGCTCTCTCAATAAATATGAAATCTTCGAACGTGCGTACTGTAACGTAAATTTAATCTTAAAATGAATTGATGTATAACAGTAAAATATTATTTATCACCCACATATACACTATTTATCACAGCACGAACTATTTATTACTTCGGCGTTGAAATTAGAACTCAATTCGATTTGCTTATATAGCCCCCCCCCCGCCCCCCTCCTCGAATTTCAGAAACACATGAATAACTGAAAACTCAGAGTAGAAACTCAGTTATCCCATCAATGTATAGATGTCATCAGGTTTTGATGTCAAAGCCGAGATCAAAGCACTTGTGTCTTATATTCTAGTAGGTATATTGGTATTGTTTTGTTGATTTCTAAATTTTCAGAATTTCAAAAGGTGTACGAGCGTTTGGGAGTAAAAATAACGGAGCGCGGCGAGTCCTTTTACCAAAAGTTAATGGAGGAAATCGTGAAAGAGCTGGAACAAAAGGGATTTCTGGAAGAAGATGAAGGTCGGAAAATCATGTGGGGTGAAGAAGGCGTGGGGATACCCTTAACGATTGTTAAATCTGACGGTGGCTTCACATACGATACCTCAGATATGGCTGCCATCAAACACCGGTTAGAGGAAGATAAGGCTGATTGGATTATTTACATAACGGATGCCGGGCAGGGAACCCACTTTGAGAATATTTGGAAATGCGCAGAACGGGCTGGAATTCTGAATCGTAAAGTACACCGCGTGGATCACATCGGTTTTGGGGTTGTGCTTGGTGAAGATAAAAAGAAACTGAAAACACGCTCCGGGGATACAATCAGATTATGCGACTTGTTAGATGAGGGTTTACGACGGGCCCTAGACAAGCTCAAAGATAAGAACAGGCACCAAGTTTTAACAGCAGAAGAGCTGAAGAAGGCACAAGAGTCTGTAGCTTATGGTTGCATCAAGTATGCGGATTTGTCTCATAACCTCAACAATGATTACATATTTTCATTTGACAAGATGTTGGAAGACAAAGGCAACACGGCTGTGTATCTCCTCTATGCATACACGAGAATATGCTCGATAGCCCGCAATGCTAATTACACTCCAGAAAAGGTGAAAGAATTAATTAACGCAGTTTCGATTTCGTTAGACCACGAGAAGGAATGGAAATTAGGCAAGGTACTTTTACGGTTTCCGGACGTACTTGTTAAAATTACACAAGATCTCCTCTTACACCACCTTTGCGAATATCTTTATGAGGTTGCTGTTAGTTTTACAGAATTTTACGATTCCTGTTACTGCATTGAAAAAGATTCTTCGGGTGATATCATTAAAGTCGACGACAGTCGTATATTACTAACTGAAGTTACTGCAATGATAATGGCGAAATGTTTCCATCTTTTGGGACTGAATCCTGTCAGCAAAATGTAATATATATTAATATTTGTAAGGAATAAAAATATATATAAATTTTAAATCCTTTTTCTAATGCTCAGGAAAATGGAGTAGGGAGTACAATACGGTGTATTGCATTATTAACTTAGAACCAAGTAAGATATTTGTTAAAGAGACATTTAGGTCCTTTAAGAGCTACTAATTATGTTTCTAAAAGTTGCAATATACCTAAGCGTTAGTTCGTACCTACTGAAGTAACATCGATAGTAGCGCACTTTGACCTTGAGTTCTGCGCATACGCCAATTCCAAGGGTCATTTGAACTACTGCGCATATATCAAGTGAATGTCACTGAAGGTCATAGTGGTTGTTGTCCAAACTAATTTGTTTGCTTACATTGCTTTAACTAGGCTATCGCTCACTTGGGCGAAGCGTCAATGTGAACGAAAAAGGAGCGACGGCCTTTAATATACTAGAGAAATGAATTCGCCTCGCTGAAATGGTCACGCATGCGCAATTAGAATTTTCATCTATCCTATAGTTAGCAGCAATTTTCAATAATCCCAAATTTTTAAATAGGGCATTTTGGTTCGTTTTCCTTTTGGTCAACTCTAAAACTAAAGTACCTTGTATTGCGAACTTGAGAGAAATGAAACACAAATGTGTTTGAAACATTTTTTTTAATTGTAAAGCTTGCTAACTTAAATTACTACGAAGTATTATTAGCCTTAACTTCTACTTCAGGAGGTTTGAAATAATCTGGCAGTCGCTGTATCTCAATCTGCAACAAATTTGTTAATTTTATAGCAACAATCGAAAATTATCCACAACCTTTGTTGCCTTAAGTGCGACACCTTCCGGTAAATTCCTCTCGATATATTCTAGCAATGTATCTGCAGTGGATCCTGTTAAACGTTTACATTGTATAAAATTGTAATAAGTTCTAGTTTCATATTGCACCCTATGCTTTTTGTAAATATGAGCAGCTTTTAAAACAGTGTAGCGTTCATGAATTGGTTTCCTCATATTCCAACTGAAAAAGTCATATAAATTTCATACCTACATACCTGAAGATAATTAATTACCTTTTGCATTCCACATTTAAATGATTAGCTGCGGTCGTTGCGAATTTCACGAAGCTTTTCAGAACAGCAGGTTCGTTGCCTCGTAACTCCAACTCCACAAGTTTGTATAACTTATCCGGTTCTTTAGTATTATTTGTAGGTTCACTGTCCACACCGGGCACTGCTGAGAAGTTCCGAACGTAATTGGTGGAAGATATTTTAGTTTTAAGTAGAGTACCAATTAGGCTTCGAGGTAAAGAATTCTAATTGGAAGTAAAATGTTACTAGCAAATTGTAATTAGAAAAGTGTTACCATTTTTATAGTCTTATTCCATTTAAATTTACTATTATAAATATAAAGAAATTGGACTTGTAGGTTATGTTTATGTAATGTGAGACCACTGAATCCGAAAAGCAGGAGTTACACATTAATTTGAATTGTTGCAGGTAGGTCGTGAACTATAAATTTGAAACAGTTAGTAACCTTAAATTCGTTTGTGTTTTTGTGATTTTATCTTTTTAGATTATTTTATAATTGCAGGTAAGTTTCACTTCCAAGTGCCATTATCTCCTAATGTGAGTTTGTAGTTGTTCCTCTATTTCTTAACTCAGTGGTATCGTACATTCACAACGTTCAGTTAAGGATGCATTCAGTCATTTCAGTAATCAGGCTGCATTCAAGAGATCAAGGTGCTTTAAAGGGTGGTCTGAAATGATAGAAAACTATAGAAAGAACTACTTATAGATAAATATGCAGGCCAGATGAATGAGCAAGATTGTTTTATTTAATTTGATAGGACATTGAAATTGCATGAAGTTGCTGGTGTGTTTTTTTTTGTTAAATTTTATTATAGGTATCGCTCTCTGTATAAAATTGGAAAAGTGTGTAGAAGTCATAGACATATGAGAATAAGCATATGTATGTGGTTGAAATTAGTGTGTTTGATAAGAGAACAATCGATAACATGCAGTGTACAGATTAAGACCTTTGGATGAGTCTGTGTTGAACCGCCGAGACCGAATTGACACGTTTTTTAGAGTCTGAGTGTGAAGTTAGCGTAGAACCTGGGGGTTTAAGTACATTACACGGTGAAAAACGCTATTGGATGCACTTTTTCTTCCGCCCGTCAGTGAGTCCGTCCGTCTGACACATGTACTACTTCTACACGGCTGAACCTATTATGGGCGATATGAGGCTCATTTGAAAGGACTTAGTGCAATAAAGATCCCATGCGTACCGATATTTGTTAGCACTATTATTTAACTAAAGCACCTGGGTATTTTTTCAAAACTTATAAGGTACTTTGCACCAGATGAGCAGAGCTGGGTACTGCTTGTAGTGTTTCGTAGCAGTTTTAAATTGTTCCTGCGTAATTTGTTTTAAAATTTATGCAATTGAGGAAAGTGGTTGCCATTGCATGTAGGGTCACGCCTCTCCACCTTTGGCAAACGGTTGAACCTAAACTGCAAACTGCACAGTTAACATATATACCACATGTAACATGCCAATTGAAAATGGGTCAAACCCAGTGACTCCGTGGGGTCACACCGAGGTGCTCTGCCGCTTTTTTAGACGCTCTTTATGGGTTTATTGCGTCTTTTTTAATACAAAATTTCTAATCATATAAAGAATGTGGCAGTTTTGACGGTGGGAGTCTCGGAAAGTGGTAGGAGACAAGTAAAGTAGTCAAATAGAGTGTTCCTGTCACTATCATAGACTCTACGATTTGCTGACATGTAGTAGGCCTGAAAATAGATGCTTCTCAACTCTTTCGGGAATAGGTTTACCTGACTAAATTGGGTTACCGGGTCTAATCGCGTCACTAGGGCCAATGTACTAACTGACTTACAGTGTCATGGTACTCATGACCCAAACTCTTTCTGTAAAAAATACAATACAGTAGGTAGGTATAGGTACGTACATTATCCAGTATTATTCCCCTAAAAATGATTTCAACTATAAAGAAATCTATGATTAAAATGTAATTTTTGTAATGATTGTGAATGTGCGATTAATTAACAAATGTAACTATACCTACCAGAATTGGGCAGAATCCTTTCAAAAAGTATTTGATTACTAAATAGTAAATACTTTAGACAAATCAAAAGTATTTCATTACTAAATACTTTTACGTTGAGCACAAGCAAATACTATAAATATAAACTTTGAAAAGTATTCAAATACTTTCAAAAATAAGTATCCATATACTTTAGAATGTATTCGAATACCTTTATTCCATAAAAGTATTTAATTTAGTTTGAATACTTTAAAGTATTTGAATACTAAAATGTATTTACAAAATCGAATACTGCCCAGCTCTGATACCTACTTACAACGTTCATAGAAGAAAGGCTTATTCAGGTCTTGCGTATAATCGTGGTTACATTACTTTTGATACTTCATATTGTATATGCACAACACAAGAAGAAAGAATAAAATTTTCCTACAAGGGCCACAGCATAGGACGGAATTTTTTCACAAAAATTTTGTATATGTCGGCATAAAACTTTTTAATAAATTACCAGACGACATTAAGGAACTAGTAAATTTAAACAAATTCAAAAGTAAAATCAAACATCTGCTGTTAAATAGTAGCTTTTACAACATAGACGAGTTTTATGAGTTCGCTCTAGATATTTAGATTTTTACAAAGTTTTATAATAAGTTTTAATAGTTTTTGTTGTACGTTGTATTGTTTGTGAATACTTGTACATTTGTGACATGTCCATATACATTTTTGTAAATGTCTTATTAACTGGATAAATACATTATTATTATTATTAGATATTATTATTATTATTATATGCAGGGGACCAGGCAATTTCGAACAAGAATAACCGAATAAAGTGAAACTATTTATTGAGCAAAAACTGCGTGCAGAATATGAATGCTATCTACTTGGCAGTAATTAATGGTTACATTTTCGCAACTACATATTTAATTATGAGTCTAACGGACTTAAGAACTACCGCTTAATGATTGAACGATCTTATTGGCGGATCCCTCCACTTGAAGTCTTCCTGGTATTGGACATATACAAACCAATAGCATAAATTTAGTAATGCGAAGGACATTGGAAATAAGACTCGCGCTGCTCTGTCGATGTAGGATACACTGTTTACGTATCGGGTGCCATGGTGTCCTTGATCTTGTTGTTCTGCAAAATTTTTTTGTAATTAATATTCTGGTGGGGGAAATTGTGGGAAAGGCGTGAGAATACCTGTCGCCGTGGCTTCGCGCTGGCGTTGTTTACGAAATTTATCGTTCCCCATTAGGCAATACATAAATTGTCTCCATTTGGGCAACCTATTTTCTGTTTGTGTCATTCTCTCCATCGTTAGGAGAACAGGTGATGGCGCCGTGACCGGCGTTGAGGTTAACGTGGTTCTTGTGTTTCCGTATCCCATAGGCGAATCCTATTAAAACGTTTAATTGAAATGTAAAAATGCTTTAGGTGCAATCAATGAAAGTAGACATGATATCAAAGGACCAAACTAAACTGGTACATGCAAGATATTCTGCAAGGCTCTTCCCGAATTTTCTCCAAAAATTCTTATAATGCAGCTTTATTAATTTTTTTGGAAAAGTTTCACACGCGCTGTATGTGAATTCACCACAATTTTATCATTCTTGACTTTTTTAACATGTAATAATTTGTATAATTAGAAATTGAATAGTTTAAAATACGTCTACAACCTTATTTAATTTTGTGACATAAAATAAAGGTATAATTAATGACCGAATTAGTATATGCAAAAGTGATAGAATAAAAGCACCCCCTTGCCTTACATTGTAAATTGGACAAATAATCGAACTTCTACGTCTTCCTATATGTGAGCCGGGTGTAACATTATTTTCCTTAATTAAATCGGTGACGTTTGCAAGTTCCTCTTCACCCTCGCAATCGATCCACTCATCTTCATCAATCGGAATTTCCCCACTTCCGACTTTGGTAAAATAATGCACGCCGGCAAATTCCAAAAGGGTGGCGATGCAATAAAAAAAGCTCATTAATAAAAACCAATCTAACGCCGTTGCGTATCGAACTTTCGGCAGGTCAGTTCGTGAATCCAAACTGATTGTCGACAAAGTTAAAACCGTCGTAATTCCCAAACCGACTCGATCACTTGTAGCTTCACGATGAATCCAGAAGGAAACCCAGGATAGCACGACGATTAAAATACAGGGGACGTAAACTTGGATGAGAAAATAGCCGGTGTGTCTCTGAAGGTTGAACGAAACTTGAAGAACTGAAAAGTCGCCTAAGGAATCGCATTTTCAACAACAACGACGATTAGTGTGCGGTACATACCTTCTCGACGGGTAAATGTGAAATTACGGTAACGGTAGCTCATTAAGTCGAATTGAGATAATGTCATTCCTGGCACAAAATTAACACTCTCATCGTTCTGCCACTGGTAAACTAATTCTCTCGTAGTGTAAGCATCTAAAAGATTAATTCCATTAATTCCTCGCAATTATGCGTTCGTCTTATTTTCTTGACCCATATACAAAACGCAATGTTTGATTAATTTTTTTGCTACAGTCGAAATGGAAGCGGAAAAGGTTTAATAAAAAGGACTCTCTGAGGTTTCCATTTTAAATAATTTACGTCCATTAATAGATGGAGGTAAATAACAGTAGGGGTAATTTATTGGATAAAAGCAATTTCCAATACAGGTCTCACCGCTTCTTTCTATGTTTAATAAACGAATTTGCCATGCATAATTTAGTTTAAAGTCGGGACTTGTTTTTCTAGAAATTACCATTGCGCAAATTATATTAAGGGAGATTATTTTGATAACGCCTGCAACGTGAAGCGCTGAGTAAGTAATCAGTTAATGATAGTCTTTCATTGAATTAATTTGCTAAAGGACCTTTTTGTACTAATGAATGCGAAATATGTTTTGGCTAATGATAATTATAAAGAAATACTTACAGCTTCCTAGAATTAGAGGACACGACTGTCTATCCATTGGAAAGTTTCGTAACTCCATTGGACATTTCGCTTTTATAGTTAATCTGAAAAGATACAATTTGTGGTTTTCTGTGTTAAGTGCGTAAAAAGTTCCTATCTAAAGCGAATAGTCCTTAATGAAGACCCAACACGTACTAATAATATAATAATTGTAATTATTGATTATAAGATAAGTAGATATTTTTGCTTCAGCTGAAGGTGGACTCAATACTAAACTTGTCCGTTGGTGTTTAGTCCAAATTTGAAGTAGTTAAAAAAGTTGCTATACCTTAATTAAGCCAATTAAGGCAAAGTTTGGAAATCAATCTTGTGCCTTTGAAATTAAAAAAACCTAATTCGGAGTAACCGACTGCTATCGTTGAGTAGTCGTGTTTCTGTCGCATAAATTATAGCTGTGTTCGATTAAAGTCTATGATTTTTAAAATTTTTATATGCTATTTAATAACAGTTCCGCCATCTGTATATTTTCTCTCTAATTTCGCTGTAGTTTACATTATTGGTATAGATCTTTCTTCGTAGTTCTTTATTTTCCCGCTAGAGGTCATGCAGATGTAGTTTCTCTTGTTATAAAATTTCCTTATTTTGGGCGTCTTCGTGCGTAGTACCTGCTCGCAATTGCGTAATAACCTTGACTTTGAATTATGATTTTTGGCTTTAATTTTGGTTTATTTTCTTTTATTACCTTACTCCTGATCTACATTTATATATTTATTCATCTGGAAGACCTGAATTACTGTTTCTGTTTTAAAAGTATTACGATATCCTCTAGGAAGAATATTGCTATTGTGAATTGCTTCGATACCCTTTGTCGTTCCAAAGAATACAATGTATCTGAGTTTACTTAAGTTATTAAGATTATTGGCGGAGAGCACCCTTCTGAATTCAGACGGCCGTGGCCAGGACTCGAAGATAATAATTTATTGCGTCCAAACTCTCCGTGAGATAACGTTTGTGGATAAAGGAATTCGATACAGTCAAATTGCCTACCGTCGCTAAAAATCCAATCTGCAGTTTCACTGTTCAATTTTCCGAACCATTGTCGGTATAAGTCTATTTCCGATTATTTCGGACATGCGAAGGGGGATTTTTTCCCCAAAAGTTTGATTGAGTTATTGAGAATATTTAGCAGAATTGATTCTCTTTCCTACTTCAAGCTATATACTACAACCCCTGACCCCTATTAAGTGGGCAGGGGTGGCTAGTCCCACTACCCTGAGTACTCGTGTCGATAAAGTTTGCTTTATCACCTTTAAGGATTCATGGTCGAGTCCGATTTCTTGAAACTCTGCTCCTGGTCCTGTATCGACAAATGGCAATCGAGCATTCCCCAGAAACAGCTAATGAGGTTTTAAGCTTGTGTTTTTTTTAGTGATCGCTCCACTGACACGAGACTACTGGACGAAGCGGAAGCTGCCGTATTACCCCGTTGCAAAAAAGGTCGGTCGGTTTTGGTAGTTATAATGGGCGGTAGCTTCAGCAGTTTTTTTAAAGTAATGTTTCGAATTGATATTTTGGAAAGCATAGAAAGATTTATACATGTACCGCTTTATAGCGAACAGAAACAACATTATGTCTGGAAATAAAAGGGGGTAAATAACGCGTATTTTCAATAAAATGTGTCCAATTTGAGATAAGCATTGGTTAATGGTTAGATCGTGTTTGCAGGGATATTAAATGACAGAAGAAGTTGAATTTTAAAAGAGTAAGACGTACTTCTTGAGTACGAAACAGGTGGTTATTCCCCGTATTAGCAAAAATGTAGTGGTTAAAATTTCGCGAGCTAATTTCGCGAGCAGTTACTTACTCAGTGCAAGTCGTAAAAAAGTGTTACCGGTTTTGAGTGGGAATTTCGAACCGAGAACGTCGCTACTATCTATTTTTATCAATCGCGTAATGAATAATGCTTTGAGTAAAGTTAGCGTAATTTGTAGCAAGCTCATTCATTTACGACTGATAAAATTTACGCTAGGGAACATTTTCAGATTGGGGACGGGCTTTTCACCCAGAATTAAATGTACTGAATTTAAAAAAAAAACTCGTGCTAAACAGAGTGTGTTCTTCGTTCGTATCGCTAACGGTACCGGCCAGTTAAAAGCAGTTAAGCAGTAATAAAGGTTGTGTAAAACATTTGTGCGCGCTTTATGTGATTATTTCTTTCGTCTATTAAATGTCAATTATCAACCAATCACACTTTTGATTCCTGTTTGACGAAACCAATCAACACGATCCATTAGCGACTATTTTGCATGGTGCACGATAGCCGACTATCAGCATGACAGCTTGTGCAACTGACAGCACTTAACTTAAACGTCAAGATCGTGTTGTTGAAGTTTTTGAAATGAATCGTTTTGGCGAAACCACAAACGAGGAAATGATGGTGGTGTGGTCCAGTCTACAATCCCGCATAATACAGTGAGGAGTAAAAATAGCGTATGGAGGCAGTTTACCAAATTTTACGAGTATCGTCAATGTGAACTAAATGAATCAACACCATTCATAAAACTGAATGATATATTGGCCTGGAACATGAAAAAAGAAGATGCGGAAAGTTATAAAGAATATAGTGTCAAGTGTATGTTGAATTCAATTCATTCAATTGATAGGTACTTATGTTTGTATTTTGTAGATTGTTATTGTTGATATTTTGAACAAATCATATCAAATTGTTTCATTTTGTGAATATGCCTCTCTGATATAAATAATTGGATTCAAGAAATAATCTTTACACGACCTTGATTAATAAGCGACTATTTTGATTGATGCTAAATTTCTCTTGTATTTATTAATTTGACTCGACATAATTTTGGCGTTAATAATCAAAGATGAAAGCCCTCGAGCTTCGCTCTCGGGCTTTCATCAGATTATTAACGCTAAAATTAATATGTCTCATTAAATTATTATAAAATACAATCGAAATTTAGATGCAATCAAAATAGTCGACTATTTATCAAGGTCTTGTTATATTACCCTTGATAATATTTTGTAAACGTCACTTGGCAGGAAACTTAAAGTAAGTGGTGTATTTATTCACACCATTCAAAAAGTTCACTGTACTATAGAAGCGGGAGGGGCATTTTTCTGGGAAAAGCAGAATTCCATCCACGTCAGATACTGTAAGATGTTTTGAATTTTTTGCATTGAATAAATTAGTGGTCGCTTATTTTTAGAAATTTGCATATAGATTTTGCTTAAAGCTTACTTTGATATTCCTGAAGAGATCGACCTATGAGAACCATTTGTATAAAAAGATTCTCTATTGTATTTCATTTATTGATAAGAGCCAAGCAAAGGATTTTGGCCATTTTGTTTCAGTGTCGAAATTTTATATATATTTCTTTATTATTATTAAAAATGTAACTTGATCGTCTTTGTGTTTATTAATATATCAGTCATGTGCCTATTTAGTAGAGTGCCATTGAACCAAAACATTATACTTTGAGTTCCAGATCTTCAGAAAGAAACAAGAGACCAAACTTCCGCAAGGTAAGGGGCAAATAAAACATTTTTATTACTGGGTTAGTCGCGGGTAGGTAAATTACAAATTAATTGTTATATTGGGACTTCTGCCAGTGCCGTGGAGATTCAATTTTATTTTCTGCAAGAGGGGCCTTCGAGCCTTGTAAATCTATCCCGTTACATGTTCCCTTTTTGTGTATCTAAATTTCAAAAATAGGTGCGTGATAATAGCGTTCCAGTTTGGATGAAGGAAAGGTGCCAATTCGGGCGCGCGGATGGAATTAATTAAATTACAGTTAGATTGTTGGTGGTAACGCAACGTTGTAAATTCAAGGGCAAATAATTCGCTAATTACAATTAAATTAATGACAAAGTTTTGAAAAGACTGAATATGAAAGTATTTAAGTCTCTTAATTTTAAAGCATAAGAATAACTTACCTCATTGAGTATAAAATATCCCCATCTTGACTAATTCTTAATAATTTATTCGGTACTGTAATAGTATGGACGTACGAATTCTTTCCGTTATAAAAGTAAGTGTCCGGGCGCCATATTCTTTCTAACATCTTAATCGATAAGGATAAAGATTTAATTGGTCCCAAAAATGATAACCTTTGGTCTCTCCAGTACTGTCTGAAGTAACAATCCATGGAATACTCCTAAAAATAAGGCACTGTTACGCGGTTGCACGAAAAGACGATGTTACCATATCTAATTCCGAAACTGGTCCCATGCTTCTTATAAGGATATTGGTCTTTACAACTGTCGGTTTATCTGCAACAGGTAGATACGGGTTTAATCTTTCTAAATCGAATAATTTGAAACGAAGTAAAATAACCTAGACTGTATTTGAACCGAGTAGTATTTATAGGGACTAAAGAGCAGTGGGTTCCCGCTGTTAAACGCTTTGATGTTGTTCCTGACATAGTTTTCCTTAAACACAGGAAAGCTTGAAAATCCTTTGCATTGTTGAAATTCTAAAATCTAATGAGCGTAAAATTTGCTGCAATTCTACTTATCGAGCTTTTTATCTCATATGTAACAAAATGACTCGTACAGGGGAAAAAGGGGAGATGGGTAGGTATTTTTCCATTATATTTGTGACAGATACAAATTGAATAAAAAAAATTCACGACGACGTCCGTAACATAGACAAACTAACAATTTATTTTTAATACTGATGGCAACACCGATATAATCCTACCTTTACCGTGAGTTGGCAGATGCGAGCTTTCGTAATTTTTCAAGAGGTTATCTAGCACCAAAGTGATATTTTTGCTGACACCGTCAATGAGCGGAGATCTCTTCATGATGAATCTCGGTTCTTCTGTGGAGTTCGGCGATTGTTTGGCGTAAAAGTCCATTACAATAGATCTCATGCTAACATTCGGCATATAGACGTCTTGATCAATCGTTGGTAGATCGAGACTGAATGTGTGTACCATATTCACGCATCTGAAAAAAAAATTGAACCCTGTTACAAATACCTCTAAAGTTAGTTTTAAACCTCTTAGATTCTAAAGACATAAAAGTTCTGTACACAAATAAGCTGTAAGGGGTTGTGTTTGTTTACCTTAGCTTGATTCCAGCAATTCAAATTTACGTCCAAATACTGCAAGTTACTCCTTTATAATAAATAGTAATTAAAGTGTGCGAACAAATTACGAGAGTGGAAAATTGTGAAGAAGTGCGAAGGAACAGGGTCGCGAGCGTCGTGGTTAAATTATTGACGTGAAGTAATAAATTAATTGTGCGATAAACCAAAACTTTCCATTTTGTTAACGGTAGCCAAAGAAAAACAGCGCCTTATTTACTCATTGCAGCGGATGGTTTATTGCTGTTGCTTGCTATTTGTTTATTTGGAAAACTAGTATCGTGTTTGTGATGGAAGCCTTGGATAATCTGAACGAGAATCCAAGCATTTGGTAGGGTTTTCAGAATCCCATATTGGCAGATTAATAATTTTGTAGATGGTCTTCCTGTTTCTGATGCCTCACCTTGGAAAACAAATGTCACTCTTACTACTTCATCCTGGCTATGGGCCTGGGGTAACTGCGTGAGCATTTCAAAATAAAGTTTTTACTTCTAATATTTCTAATTTTTACTTAAGAAAGTTGTTGTTTAGCTTGTTACCTTTATGGCTTGCAAGTGCACTGCGGAATAGAACTATCCGATCTGAACGCAACCACTCATGCCTATACCGCCAAAATACGAGTATTTTCGCGAATGGGATTGTATAAATTTCCTGAAATAATTTATTACGCACACAATGATTGATTATTGTGACCCGTTAACCTTGCTAGAGAGCGATACATAATATACTAATCGTGCGAAATTATTTAAATGATGACGTCATGAACTGAAGGCTTCATTATGTAATACTCCGGCATTAACCCATGCATGTACCTATATTGATATGAGTATGTCAGCTCTGTTCGTTTATTAAAAAATACCTATACAAGTCAATTAATAAGAAACAGAATAAAACACCCATTGTACATTGTTGGAAGACAAATATGAGTAGGGCAATATCAAACTAGGTAAGAAGGGAGAAACTTTTTAAATAAAATTTCCAGCACCAATTGACCTAAAATTTCCAATCTGTACCTCCCACATCAAGTTGGAGAGAATCTCTGTTGGGTGTGCTTTTCATGATTTACTTATGCGCCTCTTATTGCCTCAAAACTCCACAAATTTAAATAACTAAAGAAATAATTAAGACACAAGTACTTGCCAGGAATCTCGTTCTAAAATTAAGGAGAGCTGCATTAAATTAGTGCGATTCTTTTTGTTCAATATTTCGTGTACTTTATTGACAATGCAGCATAAGACAGATGAAGTGTCAATAGCGTAGGTACTCGTACAGTTGTAATGTATTAGGGAATTTTACTATTATAATTGGTAACGGAACCTACCGTACCGGGAGAACTTCATGTATATATGTATGTAAAAATGACAGTGCACAATAAATGTAATTATGTTGAATTATATTTTCGTATTTTACAAGTATCGTACATAACAAGTGGTGTCAGAAGTGGAATTACAACTCGTGTTTTGTGATTGCTACCACAGTGTCTGTAATTGCAATTTTGGTTATCAAAAATACACCAGGTGCCAACTATCGTGATCGTCTCGTCTAATGATATCGGCGTAATCATTCCGTTGCACGTGTGTAGTGACCTTTTGCCTCTAAGCCTTTTGCTCTTTCGCGCAATTCATTATAGCATTGATTATACACGTGTATAATCAATGATTATAGTAATCAAGGACTCGATTTATCAACCTAACGTACAGGATACTTCAAACAATCGATATGGCAAACGTACCTCCGGAATTATTGCAATCATTCGCGCAATTAATTGCAACCGCTCTGCGGGAAAATGCTGGTGGAAACCCAAACGTCCAGGCGGAGGCCACAGTTTCCCACTCAAAACCACCGGGATTTTCTATGTCGGAATATCGTACGACAGATGGTACAACGGTACAGGACTATTTCAAGAGATTTGATTGGGCACTCGAACTAAGTAAGGTACGTGAAGATCAATTCGCAATGTATGCTCGTGTTCACATGGGTTCTGAGCTAAATAATGCACTCAAATTTCTTGTTAGCCCAGCAGAACCTGAAACTGTGTCATATAATGATTTAAAACAAACACTGATAAATCATTTTGATCGTGCAACAAATAAATATGTAGAGAGCATACGTTTCCGGAATATTGTTCAGCAAAAAGGTGAATCATTAACCAATTTTGTCCTTCGCTTAAAACAAGGAGCTGCCAAATGTGAATATGCAGCATTTCTTGACCGCATGCTAATCGAACAACTACTTAATGGGCTGGAATGTCGGGAAATGTGTGATGAAATCATATCAAAGAACCCGGAATCATTTAAGAAAGCATATGAAATCGCACACACATTGGAGGCTACACGTAATTCGTCAAATAATGTGAGGACAGCACACCCATCGGCAACTGTGGAAAGTACAAACAAGCTAGGGTACGCGCCACCAAAGAACAAGCACAAGAAGTCTCAATTTCATAAGCGATCGTCATCACGTGGTCAAATGCAAGACCTCAAGGGTTCTCAAGGAATCGGCCAAAACAGTAATGATGTTCAATCATCATGCAATGGGTGCGGTGGTCAACATGCACGTGTCAAATGTCCTTTTCGAGATGCCTCGTGCCACACTTGTAACAAGAGAGGTCACATCTCAAAGGTATGTAGAAAAAAGTCATCTGCTCAGAGTACCACTAACCAAGTAATTGAAGCGCCTCAACCGGCCAATTATATCGATATTCTCCATCAATTTAACACAATTAATGAGATAAATGGAATGTCTAAGCAGATGATCAACGTAAACATTGATGGTCATGATATTAAAATGGAATTGGATACAGGGGCACCTTGTGCCATTATGAGCAAACAATGTTTAGATTCAATTAATCCTAACTTACCATTAAAGAAATCTGACCGCCAGTTCAGCAGCTATACAAAACATAGTATTAATTGTATTGGTATAACATCTGTCCGAGTTACAGTTGGCAAAACGTCAAGAACTTTGGATCTTTATGTTGTGGAGGAGAATTATGACTCTCTTTTTGGACGAGAATGGATAAGGGCTTTTGTTAACGAAATCAACTTTATTCAACTATTCTCTTCACGTGATCAACTCCATACAATTTCTTCAAAGGTGCCACAACTTTCTCGAGAGCAGCAGCAACAAATTAGTAACTTGCTATCACAATATGATGACATATTCAGCAACACGGCAGGGAAACTAAGCGGACCACCAGCTCAAGTACACCTTAAGGCAGATGCAGCACCGGTTTTTGTTCGCGCCCGAGAGATACCTTTGGCCTTACGTTCCATATATGCTAAGGAGATCGATGACAAGATAGCAGCTGGATTCTTCGAAAGGGTCGATTATTCAGAGTGGGCTTCGCCAACTCATGTAGTAGTGAAGAAAAATGGTAACATTCGCATCACTGGGAATTATAAGCCAACCGTAAATCCACGGATGATCATTGACGAGCACCCCATCCCGAAAGCGGAACACATTTTTGCTCGGATGAAGCATTCCAAACTTTTCTGTCATCTGGACATCACTGATGCCTATACACACTTAGCAGTTGATGACAAATTTCGCGAAGTATTGACGTTGAATACACCAACCCATGGTTTGATTCGTCCGACCAGAGCTATCTATGGAGCAGCGAACATCCCAGCCATATGGCAACGTCGGATGGAAACGGTTTTGAAGGACCTTCTCAATGTCGTAAACTTCTTTGATGACATCCTTGTCTTTGCCGAAAGTTTTGAACAACTGCTGAGAACACTTCAAGCCACCCTGGACCGAATGCGCCAACATGGGTTACGCCTCAACCGATCAAAATGTGTCTTCGCCACAAACTCAGTAGAATTCTTAGGACACAAAATCGATGAACGAGGTATTCACAAATCTGACAGCCATATTCGAGCAATACGAGACGCACCAAAACCGTCAACGCCAGAGGAATTAGAATTGTTCATTGGTAAAGCAACCTATTACAATCATTTCATTCCAGACCTAGCAACGATAAGTCGTCCACTCAGAGATATGTTGCTGGCAGAATCATTTACATGGACACCTGAAGCAACACAGGCTTACAACGAATTAAAAAATATTTTAATTTCGCCACAAGTCCTGATGCCTTATGATCCATCTCTCCCACTAGTATTGGCAACAGACGCAAGTAAAATGGGTCTAGGAGCAGTCTTGTCGCATCGCTTGAGCAATGGTGTAGAAAGGCCAATTGCTTACGCAAGCCGCACATTGAGCCTTACAGAACAGCGGTATCCTCAAATGGATAAGGAGGCTCTTGCCATCGTCTGGGCAGTCGATAAATTTTTTTATTATATATATGCTCGCCATTTTGTCTTAATAACAGATCACAAACCTCTCGCACAAATTCTTCAGCCTACGAAATCTCTTCCAGTTTTGTGTATTAGTCGAATGGCGAACTATGCCGACTATTTGTCACATTTTAATTTCGATGTTCAATACAAGCCAACTAAACTTAACACAAACGCTGACTATTGTTCTCGCTTACCAGTAACAACGACCCACAAATCAACACATGCTGTGTCATCAATCGTACTGGAGAGAGAGGAAGAAGAAGACGGGTTTGACAACTTCACCCTAAATCAAATTAAACAATTACCTGTTCGAGCTAAAGACATATCTAGGGAATCGCGGAAGGATGATCATTTGGGGAAAATAGTACAATTGTTGGAGAGGGGACGAAATCTTGGTCGCTATGGATACAAGGCCCCCGAAAAGAACTACACCCTCTCTGGTGGATGTTTGCTGTTTGAACACCGAGTTGTCATTCCGCCAATCTTCCGTCAACCTATCTTAAACGATCTACATGCTGCACATGTCGGCATTGTAAAAATGAAAGGAATTGCTCGATCCTTTGTGTACTGGCCTGGGATCGATGGAGAAATTGAGCAGGTCGCAAAATCTTGCAATGAATGTGCAAAACATGCACACGTACCTCCAAGATTTCGAGAACACCATTGGGAGTACCCGAAAGGGCCTTGGGAGCGCGTGCATATTGATTATGCTGGGCCAGTAGCCGGCATGATGTTACTAATTTTAGTAGACGCATATAGCAAGTGGGTTGAAGTAAAAGTAACAGCGTCGACTACAGCCTCATCAACTATAACCATCCTCGACGAATTATTTGCAACATACGGCGCACCAGTCACCATTGTTTCGGACAATGGTCCTCAGTTTACATCTGAAGAGTTCAAACAATTTCTCCAGTGGAGTGGAGTGAAATATCACAAGTTGTCAGCTCCGTATCACCCATCAACGAACGGTCAAGCAGAGCGCTTCGTACAAAGCGTGAAAGATGCTCTTAAAGCAATGGGCACTAACCGAGATACGTTGAAATCAAACCTTAATGAATTTCTACGCCAGTACAGAAAAGCCCCAAACGCTACCACAGGACAACAACCCTCTCTTCTTTTCCTTGGTCGTGTCATACGTTCGCGACTAGACTTGGTGAGACCCGAAGATACGTATACCAGAATGACGGAAAGAAACCGTAACTCGTTTAATCCATCATTTCGCGAGTTTCAACCAAATCACCTGGTTTACTTCTTATCTGGAAATCCACGACTGGATAAATGGTTACCTGGACGTATTATAACACGCCTAGGTGATCTGCATTACGAGATCGACTTTGAAGGTAAACGCTTTAAACGTCATATTGATCAAATCCGGTCATGCCAACAAACTACTAGTCAAAGTTCTAACCAATCTATGACGACATCTTCAAGTGATAATTCTTCAGCACAGAGACGAGTTCATTTCTATAATAAACCTGAACTGGTTCCTGAAAGAGCTGCAGAATTACCCGAAGCACAAGCTGTTGCGATTCCGCCAGGATCACCAGCTGTACCTCAACGACAGGAGTTCCAGGCCGCGACTCTACCCCAGACTGAACGAAGGTCCACGCGGATTCGGCATGCACCCCGACGATACTCTCCTGATTAAGAAAACAAAGGAGGGAAGAATTGTAATGTATTAGGGAATTTTACTATTATAATTGGTAACGGAACCTACCGTACCGGGAGAACTTCATGTATATATGTATGTAAAAATGACAGTGCACAATAAATGTAATTATGTTGAATTATATTTTCGTATTTTACAAGTATCGTACATAACAACAGTGTTCTGAATAATTGTCGACAGAGATACAATTTCGTTTGTGTTGTCAAAACAACGTGTGTTTGCCAACGTTGTGCTTCCAAAGAAATTTTGGCGATTGGAATGGGGTGGGGCACTACAATTCTACCGTTTGGGAAAATTAAATTATGTGTAGAGACACCTCTTCAGCTCTGAGGCTTATCAGAGTATTTTACAGACCGTCAGCCATTCCAGCAGGAATTAGCAGAGCTAAGGAAAAGATGTGGGTGTCGGTCTACGGATACGGCGCGGCACTCCTCATAACATTAATGACAAACGCCAAAGTTCAATTTGTCACGGCTACGACCAATCACGATAGTTGAACTCCCTCGTAGAGATTGAAGAAGAAGAGGCGAGCGGTTTAGGATATCATCCAGTGGGGGGGGGGGGGGGCAATGGAGCATCAGTGGAGCACGATCAACGATGACGACTTGAAGTTGAGCGAGAAATCGCCAACAGGGGCCCTAATTGGCGAATGGGCGAAAATTATGGAACTAAATATTTAATATACACTTTTATGCACATTTGTGAGTTGGGGTTGCAAGAATTTACAATCTTTTGTATCTCTCTATCAATTACCTTTTTTATCGATCCTTTGTATATTTTAAGGTGGCCTAACCTGTATAAAATTAAACTCAAAAACGCAGGAGAAATTCACGAGCAATGCCTTGCACCATAAAACAAGGTCACTCCTTAGTTAGTTATGTCAACGATCCTTTCTATTTCTGGTTAGTGTTAGATTACCCTTTTTGCGCGTTAACACGTAATTTTATTCATCTTCAATTTCAAAAGAAATAATTAAATTAATTCAATTAAATTCGTGAAACTGCAAACATAATTTGACCTAGGCTCCTTTGTGATAAAATTTTAAATATGGTTAATTGGCATTAAAATAAATAAGGTTCCCTATCTACTATCTCGATTTCGATCAAATTTGAGATATGGCAAATTTGAAATGCATAATTTGTCATTTTTTAAGAGTAGCGCAGGTTTTCTTTTACGGCATCTCTCTCACTCATCTTATTTATTTATTGAACGCTTTGCTTTTACTTTGTTTGCACTCATTTGATAGTTGGCAATAATAGTGTACCATGAAACCAAGGTCACACTTAACAGTTACGGCACAAAGACAAATGTTATAGGTTTATTTTGCAAAGTTCTTTTGAATTCCTTTCGGCGCACGCACTTCTTTGTCCAAAACGAGATTCGATCGTTACTTGTAGAAGAACATACACGGTACTATCTGCATTTTTGGGATTTTTGGTGCTGCATAAGTTTAGTGAAGTTTTTCTCTTGTTATTTTGCTTTCGGCACTTCGCTGACGCATTTGCGGTTGTATTTTACAATTTCTAAAGCCGTTTTCAGTATGCAACATAAATTACACCCTACCTTTTGACTTTGAATTTTTAGGCTTCTTACGTCTAACTTCTGGTCTACTCTTTTCTTCATTATTATCTATCAGATTTTGAGTTCTACATCGACATTCCTGAGTGGAAACCGCCGAATTTTGGATTTTCCCAATATTGCGCAAGGAAGATTCATTTGGGGAGGTCCACTGCCATCTTATCAAGTGAAGCATGCCATAAATGAGTTTTTACATTACCGGCTGGAAAAATTCTGCTTCAAATCTAACAACTATTCTCCGAGAATTCATTTGTATAAGTTTAACTACCTTTCATAGCTTTTATATTAATCGGTTTACCGATATCAGCTACCGTAGCGTTGTAAATAAATTTTTGATGTTACAGAGACTCATTCCGAAGTCGATATCTACAACTTTTAGTTACGTTATTGTTTTACTCCGAAGAATCGCTCATATTATCTTGGTTATGTTCTGAACTGAATGGACCAATAGAAATTATTATAAGTTATTAATTGTGCATCATAATGTACTTTTCTTGAATTTAACGTCCCGTTTGTGCTTTTATACGATTGTAAGGATAATTTGTGGTCGCTCAAAATTTTGTTTTTACTAGTGTAAAGTCAATCGAATTATTTATTCTTATTGAGTATTAATCACAGTTTGTATATCCGTTGCCTCCGTGTCAGCCGTTAGCATTGCTTACGCAATATTTTATGTGCCGCGCTATTCACTACCATTTTTTAATTTTAATTTTTTTTATTTCGTTGACTTCTTGATATTCACTTAGCGATTATAGCTCCGTTGTTTTCTGCGGAAGTCTATTTTGATATTAATATTTGATAATAATATAATATACATTACAGTGACCTAGTTGTAATATTTTTGAAATAATTGATTGTGACGTTATTGTTTATGTTCTATCCCTATCAAGTATTTTATTCCTTTAGCTTTTCAAGGCGTTTTCGATAATTTAACCGGTTGAACCGGGTTCGTAGACGTTGCTATGGTAACCATTAATTTTTACAAACCCTGTTAAACCGGTTCAATTTTCAAAAACGCCTAATGACTGCCCAACGTGGTCAAAGGCGGCGATGTCAGCAGAGGCGGACTGGGTACTTACGGGCCAGGTGGAATTGCATAGGTTACGGGCCATTAAAGTATTAGTGTAATGAAGCTGGAGGGGGAGGGGGGAGGGAGGTCTGCGGTGCACCACAAAAACATTTTTTGCTTCATTTTAAAGTATTCCTTTCTCGAAAATCAATTAGAACATAGTTTTTTTAAATTGCAATTTATAATTAAAACTAACAAAATATACATAATCCAAACGAGGCGCGTCGCCTATAATTGTGTTTCAGCACTTTCAAAATACGACAATGATAAATTCATTGTAAAACACTTAAATAAAAACAGAATTTTTTAATGAACAACCTAACATCAACCTCAATGAGAAACGTGCTAATAATTTATTAATAGTGCAAGAAACTAAACACAGCACATACTTATAAATTTCCAAGGAGCCATTATGACCTACACTACAGGCCAGATGGCGATCGCCCCCCCCCCCCCCCCCCCCCGAGCCAGTCCGCCCCTGGATGTCAGGATGCTCCTCCCGGTTTGTTGGTGCAGGATTCTGAGACGTCGTTTCTACCCTCCTGGAACACTTTGCCACTATTAACGTCCCTTTGCCGCAGGAACCACACGCCTTTTAGGTAAGAAAACCAGCTAGATTCCGTACCTAGTTCCGCACTCTCGCCAAGCACGTAAGTTGTTTGTGTGAGTGCTAGCGGCTCTTATAGCAGAGCCATCTCATCCACTGCCACACTCCACCTTGATTTCGAGAGATAGATGGGACAAATAATTGGAATAGATGATGGGTATTTAAAGGAGCCGCCTCCTGTCCCATTGGCCGCTTTCTACGACTCCATGGCGAGCACCCGAACCCCCACAGTAACTGTTATTATGAAATCTGTTCACTTCTCAAATTGTGAGTAAATGGTAGAATAAGAGCCAATTGTTGCTCAATTAATGTGGTTCTTAAATTCATAGTGTTTGCTGCTAATGGATATTCGGGAAAACCAAACAGTAATTTTGCAAGGCATTGTTGAATTCTTTTAGATTTTAGGGTAACTAAATTATGGATCAGTAGCGGCAGGTATTTTTGTTTTTATGATAAAAACAACATTTCTTAAATTGAATCAGCAAGGGTCTTCTAGTAAGGTTAAAGGAGCACGCTAAGAATGCTTAATAATGAGAAAGTGAAATTATATCACCTTGTGCGACACATCGAACTATTTTCTGTTTTCATATTTTGCACGAAATTCCATCTATCTATGTCTCTGAAATGGGTTCTGAACATTTTACTTCAAATGATTTCATTTTTCGAACAAGTGCCACGTTCTCATAAAGGACAAGTGTTGATCCTTTGTTTTTGTTCGAAAGTTACGCAGTAGTCATATAACATTCATATATAGAAGAACGCACCTACAAACTTTATTCCTTTGCCGAATTCCACAAGCATTTAATTATCACATTAAGTAATACGAGTAAAACAATAGAGACTATCCTCAAAGTCAAGTAAAAGGATCAAATTACCGGCATTCTTTGTAAAAGCAAAGGAGTACATTATTGCATAGGAGGGAAACTTTAAACTGGGTAGTACCTACACGTTATTATTTCTGAAACTTCAAGCACGTAAGCCAACATCGCCGTTTTATCTTAACAAAACATCAATTTCAGAGCTCAAATATTTTACTTCCTCTTCGTAACTGGGGTCATAATTACATTGCAATAAATAATACCCTTTGGAGAACCTGAGTACGAAAACCAATGATTTTAGTAGAATGGTTGCACGTACAATTCGATCAATAATGAATTGCTGCGCCGCTTCTGTGAAATATGACGTTAGTAATCATTTGCCGCAACAGGCCTGATAGTGCACCAGTACTAAAACATAACCTTTAAACCTTAACATTATTATTTATCATTACAATTTATAACAATATAACACAAGTGCATCGAAAGTGTCGAAAGTAGAACTGCCGTGTAAACGCAATCCGAATTGCTTATATAGTGAAGTGGTGGCGAACATTCTACAACAAAATACGTCATCCCATATGACAAAATTGTGCAGCATTAGCGTTTAATAAACGTTTAATGGTGACTTTAGCGTAACGTTAGCGTATAAGTACCATTAACTTACTATTAACGTCACCGCGACTGCTAATGTCCGCCTTCAAGAACGTTTCTCTGTAACGTCTAAATACCTACGTTTAGCAAACGTTACATCATATTACACTTTATAACATCAGCATTTAACGTTAATTGAACGTTTGAAACAAACGCCAATGCGATGTAACTCTCTTATGTTGTATAAACGTGGTACAAAAATGTTATTAAACAATACTAAATTACGTTTATATCATCCTTATACATTGACGGTCGGTATTATTAAAGTCATATTTACTATGTTGTAAGCTAACAGTGTTGTTAAGGAATGTCTTAACAACACTGTTAGCTGACAACAAAGTTAAGTCTGGCTTTATAATACAGGTCGTCAATGTACAAGGATGACATAAACGTAA